AGTCTTGAATTCCACGATTATCTCAAGGAGTGTGGAATAGTTTCGCAATTGACGCCTCCTAGGACACCGCAGTTGAATGGTGTGGCAGAAAGGCGTAATCGAACCTTATTGGATATGGTTCGCTCTATGATGAGTCGTGCTTCACTACCTATCTTCTTTTGGGGGTATGCCTTAGAGACTGCCGCCCATATCCTTAACCGAGTCCCTACTAAGAAGGTTGCCAAAACACCTCACGAGATGTGGACGGGGAAAGCTCCCTCGTTGGCACATATCAAGGTTTGGGGTTGCGAGGCTTTCGTAAGACGAGATACTCACGACAAGCTTGAACCTCGAAGTGAGCGATGTATTTTCATCGGCTACCCGCAAACTTCCTTTGGATATCTCTTCTATAGACCGAAAGATAATGTTATCTTTGTTGCGAGGAGAGGAGTTTTCCGAGAGCGAGAACTCATAAGCCAAGGAGACAGTGGGAGGCAAATCGAACTTGAAGAGATTCAAGAGTCGATAGATGAAGGAACCTCTACCGCTGGCATTCAACCCGAGGAGGAAACTCCGGTTGAACCGATTGACGAATCCTTACCTCTTAGACGTTCCGATAGAGTTAGAGTTCATCCCCAGTTTTATGGTTTTCATATTACTACCGAAGGGGACACGTATATTAGTGATGGTACACTAGTAAATCTTGATGAACCTAATAGCTATAAGGAAGCCATGGCAGGCCCGGAGTCTGCGAAATGGAAAGAGGCGATGGATAGCGAGATCCAATCCATGTACGATAACCAAGTTTGGAATTTGGTTGATTACGTGCCCGAACGTAAGACCGTAGGGTGCAAGTGGATCTTCAAGAAGAAGACCGACGTGGATGGGAACGTACACACATACAAAGCGCGATTGGTTGCGAAGGGCTTTACTCAAACTCCCGGAGTTGACTATGATGAGACCTTCTCACCAGTTGCGAAGATTAAATCTATTAGAGTGATGCTAGCAATTGCCGCATTTCATGATTATGAGATTTGGCAAATGGATGTCAAGACCGCTTTCCTTAACGGAAAGTTGGCTGAGGATGTTTACATGGCTCAGCCAGAGGGGTTTGTGGATCCGAAGCATCCGAATAGAGTGTGTAAGCTTGAGAAGTCCATTTATGGACTTAAGCAAGCGTCTCGCAGATGGAATCTTTGCTTCGATGAGAAAGTCAAAGAGTTTGGATTTGTACGAAGCGAAGACGAATCTTGTGTATATGTCAAAGCCAGTGGGAGTATAGTAAGCTTCCTCGTTCTATATGTCGATGACATATTACTCATAGGAAACGACATCCCGACTCTGCAGGAGGTTAAGTCCTGGCTCGGGAAGTGCTTCGCTATGAAGGACCTCGGAGAGGCTTCTTACATTTTGGGAATAAGGATAGTAAGAGAAAGAAGTAAGAGACTAATTGGACTTAGTCAGAATACTTACTTGGAGAAGGTACTAAAACGTTTTAGTATGGAAAACTCAAAGAAGGGAGAACTACCGATACAAGGAAATGCCAAGTTGAGTAAGACTCAAAGTCCGAGTACCGAAGCTGAGATAGCAGAAATGAGCCGAGTACCATACGCTTCCGCAGTTGGCTCAATCATGTACGCTATGACTTGTACTCGCCCTGATGTAGCCTTCGCTTTGAGCATGGTTAGCAGATATCAAGGGAACCCTGGCAAAGCACATTGGATTGCGGTGAAGAACATCCTTAAGTACCTTCGGAGGACGAAAGAATGGTTCTTAGTCCTTGGAGGGAGTGATGACTTGAAGGTGCGAGGGTATAGTGACGCCAGCTTTCAACCGACAGGGACAACTACCGTTCGCAGTCGGGCTGGGTCTTTACCCTAAATGGAGGAGCAGTGACATGGAAAAGTTCCAAGCAGAAACCGTAGCTGATTCAACGTGCGAATCAGAGTACATCGCAGCGAGCGAAGCGTCGAAGGAGGCAATATGGCTGAAGAACTTCATCGGTGATCTTGGAGTTGTGCCGGCCATAAAGGAGCCCATGGAGATTTTCTGTGATAACGAAGGTGCGGTTGCCTTGACCAAGGAACCGAGGGATCATGGTAGATCTCGACATATCGACAGAAAATATCACTTCATTAGACATCGTGTAGAAGAAGGACAACTCGTAGTGAAGAGGATATCATCAGAAGATAACCCAGCAGATCCGCTTACGAAGGGACTGAGTAGGGTTAAGCACTTGCAGCATGCTAGGAGTATTGGGCTGAAGGATGATATTAGCATAGATTAGATAGTATTAGAAACGTATAATAGATAAATGTAATTGAACATTTGATGATTAAATAAAGAAGTTTTATTTATGAGTAAAGTTACTATCACATGTTAGTTGTTTAACTATTGTTTCACTTTGCATGTTTTGACTTCCAGAATAATTGAGTTTATTAGGAATAATCGAATTATTCAAATGGTCCACAATCGTTCATATGTTGGGAGTAGATATGAATGAAGATTGTCATGAATTGGTGTGTAGAATGTCTAAATGGTGTTAGACATAGCAAGGGTTGCTGCAACGTTCATGAGTGCTTATGAACTGGTTTTGAGCATTGGAATAAACCCGCGCTTGCTGGAATCACCTTATGGAATACGATATAAAAGGTGATCGCAAGACGATAATATCATATGGTCTTAAAACCTAGATATATGGTTTATTATTTGTTAATTGATTGTGCATTGATAATGCGAAAACGCATCAGTAACTTGATGTTATAAAACGCATTGTTGTGTATAGTTGGTTAATGAATAAGTAAATGCATATAAGTCGAAGTTTATCTGTAAATTTTATCCTAAGAGGGTAGAAGAGATATCTTGGCCACTCGATGATTTGATTTGACTTATGTGCCGGGCCCGGTCAGAACTGAATTGATGTGTTCGATTAAGTTCTATGTCAAATAAATCGAAGATCGAGAAATCTAAATGCTAGACTAACCATTCCATAGGATTGTCAGCATGATATCTAACAGAGGACTGTACGATCCCTTATCTAAAGGACAAGATTGATTAGATCAGAGTTGACAGCGTCTTTGAGAGCTACGATTGCAAACCGTATTGTACTTGTATAGTTACTAGACTTATCCAAGTGGGAGACTGTTGGAATAGTGTCTAAGGCTATAACTATATTCGGTGGTGCATGGTCCTTTTGGGTTGCCTTCACCATAGCAACTTGAAGGATGATTTATTAAGAGAGAGTAAATATTATAAGGAATAATATTTAGCTATTTGATTAATATAAGTCATAAATTAATTGGTATTAATTTGGTGACTTAAAGAGATTAATTAAATAAGAGGGTATAAACTGTCAATTGTTTGATAGTTAGACTTTAGACTATAAATCCATTAGGATACACTTGGACGGATTCTAAGAGCTTTAGGATAGCTCAAAATCGTCCATAGGGTTATCTATGGAATGGATTTGGATAGCCTTAAGAGAAGATTATCCAATTAGGGTTTAGGGTGAAACCCTTAAGGAGTCTAAAGGTATAAATAGGCCCTTGGGATGTGGAATTCGTGTACAACCTTTCAGAACCTAAAGCAAGGAACCTCTGGTCGAATTCCATCCCCTCTCCTCTCTCCTAAATCATCTTGCTTGCTATTGGTGTTTGTAAACCATTAGAGGAGTGACAATTGTGACTCTAGAAGCTCCAAGACAACCAAGATCAACAAGGGATTCAAAGGTATGATTCTAGATCTGTTTAATATTGTTATTTAACCTAATTAGCCATTAGAAGTCTTGGATTCAAAAGCATGTTTATTAGAAAGCCTAGATCCAAGCAATAGGGTTTTGCATGCGCACATAGGAAAGTTCTTATGGCTAAAACCCAACACTCATCGAGTAAGGTCGCGACTGATGACTCGGATTAATGAATGGACTCGACGAGTCGGTGAGGCGACTCGACGAGTCCATGTTGTTGGCAGAAACCCTAAATCTTTTGCCCCAAGCCATATTTAAAGGCACTTATGGCCTTCAATTGCGACTACCTTTCCCATAAGTGAGAATCCTAGCGAGCTTGAGTGTGTAGAGTGAGAGGAAGAGCTATCTTGAGCTTTTTGGTGTGATAGATCTGGACCCTTCTAGGTCTAGAGAGCCGAGAATATGAAGATTTAGTAGAGTAAACCTTGGGGTTCAAAGTTAGGAAGCATAACCTTAACTAACAATCTGATGAAATAAAATGATGAGAGATAGGTGATGATAGAAAGGTGATGATAATTAGGTAAATAGATGATGATGAATATGTGATGTAGAATGAAAGGAGATACCATAACATTAACCAGCAATGTGGCGAGGTAGTAATCTACCAGAGTATAGATGGTGACCACGAACTATTCTAGACAATCCAGTGGAAACACCAGCATGCCCATAACCTGTAGGTGATGAATTACAATTTCAGGCGATGTTGTAACTACGTATTCATGCGATGATACTCTAACCCCTTACTATGAATTACGAGTTCAGACGATGTTGTAACTAAATATTCATGGGATGTCACAAATTTTGCATGCCAAACCAATGGTCAAAATTCACATCAGTGAGAATGGTTCATTTTTTTGTAAAACCAAAATCAGATTGGAAATTTTGATTTTTTATTTTGGAAAATGTCAAACTATTGGTTTTTTATTTCGGTTTTGGTTTTTTGTTTTTTTTTTTAAATATATTTTCATGGTTTTCTTTTTTTTTTTTTTTAATTTTTTTTATTTAATAGATTTCTTCATCAACAAATGTTGCTATAATTTAACAAAATAAATAATTTGGTAAAACATAATACAAGAGGAAGTTTGTTCACATTTAATCATTGAACTTTTTAGAGGGAAACGAAATTTCGATTTTGTTCATATTTAGTCACTAAACTTTTTTTCGTTATCTATTTGCCATTGAACTATTGAAACTGTTCACATTTTACCCCTATGACCGGCAACATCCGGTCATAAGGGTAAAATGTGAACAGTTTCAATAGTTCAATGGCAAATAGATAACGAAAAAAAATTTAGTGACTAAATGTGACAAAACTCGAAAGTTCGTTACCCTTTCAAGTCATTATCCCATTGATTAATAGCTACAAAGAATATGAATAACAAATATAATTCTAAAGCTTAAATAGCACTAAATAGTAAATACATAGAAGAATATATACGGAGGTCCAGCGTATCAGTGTATAACAGAACACTTCTTATGCCATTTTGCATTCCGGAGGAAACCCTTGAGCAAACCTCTTGGAATCTGAACAGTAGTTGTATATCATGTAATTCTTCTGCACCCATTCTAACCTTTCCTGCTTTGTGTTATCCAACTCCTCCGATAGCCATGCCTGATTGCCACCGGAAGATGCAGAGCCACCACAAGACGATTTCCCAGAAGACACCACACAAGCATCGGCCCTAAAGTTTCTGTAGGATGCTGTGAACGGGGCTTGACTCCAGTCGGTTTTAACCAACCCACCCCTGGTCGCCCAATCATCAGCATTCCATAAGCTAGAGTGTATTCTCATGGGCTGATTTTTTGGGAACGGAACTCCAATAGATTCGGAATTCTTAAACTCTCTAATGGGTGTTCCATCAACAGAAAATCTAGAAATGGACAAAGGAAGATCAGTATTTGACATGGGTCATTGTATGTAGAAATTATATAAAACTTAAGATGATACTTACATGATTCGTTGAGGGTTCCAAAGGATTGAATAGGTGTGGAAATCAGCAGTTGGGTCGAACCACAGGTAGAATTGTTGTTCTCTGTTGCCTTTGCCTTGGCTGAATACATTTGTATGAAGAATATAGGGATCACCACTCAAGTTACCCAAGAACTCAAAGTCGATCTCATCCCAGTTCGATCCTTTTGAAGACAACTGCAAATACAATCATAACATAATTAACATTCAAATTCAGTAAACTATTTCACAGCCTAGAAAGTATATATGAAAGATAGCAAGAAACTAACGTAGTAGGCAGTGACTGTGCCTGCGGAGTTGCCGGGTACCAGTTTCAGCTGCATATCGATTTTGCCAAACAGGTACTCGTTTCTTGACTCAAAGCCAGAGCCAGATGATTTATCGAGGGAAAGGGTTAAGAGTTCGCCATTTAGTATTTTACCTCGGCCATCACCCCAAGTGATATCAAACTCATTGTTGAAATCCGCAGAGACTATTGAAATGCTCACTAGAAAGATGAAAAGCAGAAGGAAAGTCGACAGCTTTGAGGTAGAAGAAGAAGCCATTTTATGCGGAGGAATGTTTTGTTAGTAAGTTGAAGATAAAAGACATGAATTGTGTTGTATTTATAGGGTGTGTGTTTGGAGATTGAAGGAAGGTGAGAGTAGGAGGAGTATTTAGTGAAGTCAAGTTGGTGAGAACTTAAAAGTTTTGAACTTTTGATGATAAAACAGCTGGTGTATATTAGGCTTTAGCGTGTAACAATTGTATCTCTAAAGTGGTAGTGAAAGAGACATTTGGTTGTTAAAAAAAATACAATTGACGGATGTCTGTGGATCGGTGACGCGTTTTCAAAAGTGTAATTTATTATTTTAAATTGCATGGCGTTTCATCCGGGATATTCAACCTCGCGCCTCGATAAAATATTGAATACAAAAGGACTGATAATTTAAAAGATTTTACCTTTTAAACATATTTTCCTTTTTTTAGTTACCACTTACCAATCCTAGCTAAAATATCGGGTTTCCAAGTAAGTTCCGTTAACAAATAAGTTTTTTTTTTCTAATTTTTTTTTTCAAAGATAACCACATATTGTTCCGAATTGTCTGGAAAAAATAAATTTTCTAGCATTCTATCATTATGTAACACCGTAAATAGTTTGGTGGATGCTTGATATGTGGAATAGTTTCTGTTATGAGATGGTAAATGTAATGGATATATGTGAATGATATTTTTGATAGATGTTGGAAAATATGGTTTACTTTTTTCCTAGAGGCTAGAGAGGGTATCAATGACCTATATCGGTTAAGGCATCAGAGGTTTTTAATTACCCAAGATAGTAGTCCATGCCGCTTGTTGTCAACTCTATGTTTGCCTAATTGGTAACATCTTAGAACTAATGGTGTAGTTGCATATCATGAATATGGAAATATAATGTTATCTGTGAACATAATGATTCTAAATTTTATCCATGTGATTGACTAGGGTGAGCATAATGCTTGAATATGTTGTTTAAGGTTTATGACATTGGTGCAAGTATAAACATAGTAGTAAAAGAAATGGGGTAAAACCCAAAGTATGTTGCTATTTTTCTAAAATACTGGGATTAGAAAAAATCAAAAGAAAATTATATGTATACCACGAGGTATATACGGTAAGCTAGTTATACACACCTCAATTGTAGTTTCGTGGCCTTTGAAAACTTGAAATAGATGAATGAAAAATGTTTTAAAGTTAATGTATTTGAATAGTTATACACACCTCAATGTAGTTTCATGGCCTTTGAAAACTTGAAATAGATGAATGAAAACGGTTTAAAGTTAATGTATTTGAATAGTGTTTTGAAAGGTAGTACAATGTAAAGAAATGCTTCTTGGGGGATTTTTGCGAGCCCTTCATTGGGAAAAAAGTATTAAAAAAATAAAATGAGACAATCCTTTGTGAACTTGCTTGTGTAGGCGTCCTCAGCTCATCCAGATTATATTGGAAGTTCATGGCATGTATCCAAACTAGGGATGAAAGTAGATCCAAGCCCGGACTGAATGGACCCGAATCCGAAAAACCCGGAACCGGTTAACGGGTTTTTTTAGAACCGGAAACCGGACCGGTATATAGGAACTGGTTCTGGTTTGGTTTCGGGTAAAGTGGGTCTAGAACTGGAAAACCCGGAAACATCAAAGTGGGTAGGTTGAAACCGGATAAAGTGGGTTTAGAATCGGAAAACCCGAAAAAACAGGAATTTTTTGGTAATTACTTACTACTTAGTGGGTTGAACTTTGAAATTTTTTATATTGATATCCCGAATTTGGGGGATTGTAACTCATTAAATATGAAACCAAAATTAACAAAATTATAGTAAAAAATTATGTACAAACTCTAAAATACACTTTGGAAAAAAATCTCATGTCAATCTGACTTTAAACGAATGTGATATACATGTGTTAACATTTTCACACAATACAAAGTACAAAAACAAATAACTGAAAAGTTGAAAATATCCAGTTTTGATATTCCGACTTTAGAGGACAGTAAATCATTGAATGTTAAACCAAAAATGACAAAATTATAGTTTAAAATCATGTATAAACTGTAAACTACAAGTTGGAAAAAGCCACATGTCAATTCGACTTCAAACGAATTAGATATGCATGTTTTAAAACTTTCACCGAATACAAAAAAAACTGAAAAATTAAAAACTTCTAGCTTTGATATACCGACTTTGGGGGACTATAAGTCAATGAATATAAAACTAAAAATGGCAAATTTATAGTCTAAAATCATGTACAAACTCTATACTACATGTTGGAAAACATCGTATGTCAATCGGAGTTGAAACGAATGAGATATGCATCTTTTAAACGTTTAAAAAAAAAACAACAGGTTCCGGCCTTAAAAGTGGTTCCGGTTCCAAAAATCGGTTCCGGTTTTTAGACCCGATTTACCCGGACCCGATGGACCCAAACCCGAATTACCCGGAACCCGGTTAAAGCCAATTTTTGAACCCGGAACCGGAACCGGTTCTATATATTCCGTAACTAACGGTTACGGTTCCGGTCCGATTTTCCGGTTTTAAATCTCATCCTTAGTCCAAACTAGTTAGAAGATAATTAATTTTTTTTTTGCCACAAAGTAATTTGTGTTTATAACTAATTTTTATTTTTAATAAAAAATAAAATAAAATATATCAAACTACCTAATTTATTTTTCTCTATAAAATAAGATCAATATCGATATAGTTTTATGAATATAAAACTTTAATGTAAAATAGGTTGGGATGGTTCGTTATAACGCCCCAAATTCTGGTATATAATTTAATTAAAGTAATTTTCATTCTTAAGGGGCTTACTCGACGAGTCAGTAGCTAGACCCGTCGAGTAGAGACGGGATTTGCACAAGTTTTAAGTGGGGGACTCGACGAGTCCATATTCCTGGACTCGGCGAGTCTGCCAGTCTAGATGAAAACCTAATCTCAAGGGTTTGCACCCTATTTAAACATCTTATGTGCCCCAGGACCGGCCTCCCTCACCCACAAACAGTCCCATACGAAACCCTAGCAATTCTTTAAGCAACCTTGAGTGTTCTGTGCTCTTTGAAGTTTTGGAAGGAGGATCTAAAGGAAAAGAAGAAGATCTAGGATTTTGGGGGTCAATTCAGAGGATATAGAGGTATTAAAACTCGAACCCTTGTTGTTCCTTCAATTAAATCTCCATAAAAGCTAAATCTAGTCACTTTTTGGGCCATTTCTAGAGCTACTAGTGAGTAGGGAGCATGTAGAGATAGAAGAACATCAGATCTAGTTATGCTTGAGCTCCAGAAGCTCAGATTCACCAGCTTTATTAGGCCAAACGCTCATGCAAGCCCTAGATCTACACTCTTGGATTATTTAGGGCTTTTAATCCTCATTTGATCATGCATGCACGTAAAGTTGGAAACTTTACGTGTAAAACCCACTCTAGGAACCCAAATATATGAATTGAATGCCTTGGAATTGATAAAAATCAACGATATAGTTATGTCATGCAAGCGACTCGACGAGTTGTTCATCGGACTCGACGAGTCGAGTCGCGAGTCCCCAAATTTATCCCTTTGAGAGATTACAAGTGGAATTAGTAAGTAGGACGTGGAATCAGTGAAATGGGACACGAACTCAGTAATTGAGGGACTCGGCGAGTCTACGCCCTAACTCGGCGAGTCCAAAGCAATCTTCTTGCCTCAAGAACAGACTCGACAAGTTGTTCATACAACTCGGCGAGTCATAGACTAGACGTGTTCATGAGATGAGGATGGACTCGACGAGTTGTTCATACAACTCGGCGAGTCGGATGAAGTTAGACTGGATGTCATTATCGACGAAGAACTCGTCGAGTCTTTGCTAAACTCGATGAGTAGTAGCGAGTAGTGGATAAGAAGAGAATATAGGGACTCGACGAGTTGACAACCCAACTTGGCGAGTCTGGTCAACTAAATGTTGAATTTGAACAGAAGGTTGACTTTGACCAGGGGTAAAATAGTCATTTTATCCTCAGTTCAGTTATCAGTATCTGATTTAGTGTTTATGGGAATTGTAGCCGGGGAATTCCGGAGTAGCAGTCATCCAGGTTCGGATTTAGCATCTCAGCAGCCAGAGTTCCAGGGTGAGTTTTCCTTCCAGTAGGAACGGGTCTACGGCCACAATGTCGGCCCGTGTAGTTAGCAGTAGTTCCGGACTTTGGTCCAAATGCAGTAGTTCAGTGTGCTTGATGTCTTTGTGATTCACGCATGTCTTTGTGGTATGTGTTCCAAACTTCGGTCCGATGCAATATGCAGTATATGTGTTTATGTTAGTTGATATGTTTATGCTATGCTATGTTATGCTTAGTCAGTTTCTGGACTTCGGTCCGATGCCGGGGACAAGGTCCCAGTCAGTTCCAGATTTTGGTCCGATGCAGTTAGTTCCGGACTTCAGTCCTATGTAGGGGACAAGGTCCCAGTCAGTTCCGGTGTTTGGTCCGATGCAGTTTTCGGACTTTGGTCCGATGCAGAGGGCAAGACCCTGGTTAGTTCCAGACTTTGGTCCGATGCAGTTTCCGAACTCCGGTCCGATGCAGTGGGCAAGGCCTAATAGTTATCTATTTGTGATTGTATGGTATGTGGTAGTTTTGGGGGAGCTCACTAAGCTTTGTGCTTACAGTTTCAGTTTTGGTTTCAGGTACTTCCGCAAGCAAAGGGAAGAGCTCGGGTTGATGGCATCGCACACACCACAACTTCAGTTTTATCCTGGGAGTTTTATTAAGATATTTTGTTATGATTGATACAGTTTTGTTTTGACACAATTACTATGACTTTTGAGTTACTCATTTCATGGTTCTTATTATATATGACATTCGATGATGTGATTTTAGAAATATTAAAACAAAAATTTTTGGGTCGTACTTTTGGGATGTTACAAGTTGGTATCAGAGAGGCACACTTACGGGTGTGACTGGACTCAAACTAGGGAAATAGTAAGAAGATTTTCAAAAGAAAAATGTTTTTCGAAAGGATTTTTGAAAAAGAAACTTAAAAAGAAAAGAGTTTTTGAAAACGAGAAAAGGGTGTGGTGCATGCGATGAGCCGAGCTCAAGTAAGTACTCCCAAATTACCCATACAAGTTTATGTTATGATTATCAGTTTCAGTTTCAGTAGAACAGCATGCTAGGATAGGACTAAGGATCTAGGGATG